CGCCCGCACCTCTATCCTCGCCGCCGCTAACCCCATCTACGGCCGTTACAACCCCCGCATCTCCCCCGTCGAGAACATCAACCTTCCCGCCGCTCTTCTGTCTCGTTTTGATATCATCTTCCTCCTTCTCGACTCACCGACCCGCGAATCCGATGCCCAGCTCGCCAAGCACGTCACCTACGTCCACATGCACCAGCGCCACCCGGACATCGGCACCGACTCGGTCGTCTTCTCCCCCCACGAGGTCCGCTCCTACGTCGCTCAGGCCCGCACGTACCGACCTGTCGTTCCCGCCTCCGTCTCCGAGTACATTGGGAAGACGTATGTGCGCATGCGTAGCCAGCAAAAGCGCGCTGAGAAGAAGGGCGAGCAATTCACCCACACCACACCGCGTACCCTCCTCGGTGTCGTCCGTCTCGCGCAGGCCCTCGCCCGCCTGCGCTTCAGCAACGAGGTCACCCACGACGACGTCGACGAGGCCCTGCGCCTCGTCGAGGCCTCCAAGGAGAGTCTTGCGGCTGAGCAGGCCGCCAACGGACGCCAGCGCCTCAATGCTAGCAGCAGAATCTACAACCTCGTCAAGACCCTCGCCGACAGCGGCGCCTGCCGCGCTGACGACGCCGAGGATGACGAGGAGGAGCTCGGTGTCGAGCTCAGTCTTCGCAAGGTTAAGGAGCGTGTCATTGCCAAGGGCTTCACTGAGGACCAGTGGCTTGCGGCTCTGGAGGAGTACAATGAGCTTGATGTAAGTTTTTCCGCCCAATTTTTATCACTTTTCAATTTTGGACACAATGCTGACAGGGTATCGAATAGGTCTGGCAAACGGCTGGAAACGGTACGAGGCTGGTCTTCATCACCTCCAACGGCGCAGAGAGGGACGAATAAGAATTTTGAGCGGGCATGTGGGAGTAGTAGCAGTAGTCTTGTTGCGCGATTGGTGGTTAGCTCGAATCTTGTGTTGTTTTCTCATAGCTTGCTTCGTAAAAAAGAAGCCTTTGGGACTTGGCGTTTGGTATTTAACATGATTGAAGAAGAAGGAGGAGGAGGGGGAGAAACATTCTGGCGGAGCGTTCTTGAATGGACCAGCTGTCCACTTCCGTACGAGATGAAAAAGAAAAGTAATGAACCCAGCATCAATCGCGTTCTCCCGCTTTCACATATGATTCTGGCTTGAATTTTTTTTTTTTTTTTTTTTTTTTTTTTTCACCTTTTAGGGTATTGCAAAACAATAATTGTAACACATTGGAATTCCCATGAACTTTGGATGATATGGTTATATAATACAGAATTTTTGTTTACCTCCCCTTCTACAAGCAGGCATCTCTTGATACACTAGTACATGTATACACGTTTCTTTCTTTACACCGTTCTCTCTCTCCCCCCCCCTCCCCCCCCTCAGACTCCCCCTCTTTGACAGAACAGAGAAAACCCCCTTTTTTAATACTGCAACACGCGCGTGTTGAGCAAGCTCGCCCGCTCCAACTCGCCGAGGACACCGCCACCAGCAAGAGTCCATTTCTCCGCGACGGACGACTCGTCGATGCGCGAGCGCATGAGACCGCTGGCGGCCCAGTACTCCATGACGGCGCGGGCCTCCTGGCGGCTGATGCCGCTGACGTCGAGGGTCTCGACGCCGCGGACGGCCTCGTAGACGCGGTCGTCGTAGCCCTTGAGGTAAGGGTCGGGGGTGGGGACGAACTGGTCCGCGGCGGCGGCGGCGGACTGCGCGAGGGCGAGCTCCATGGACGGGGAGCGGGGCGCGTTGCTGCGCGAGGTCGCGGCGATGACGGCGCCGCCGTTGGCGAGCGGGGTCTTGCCGGCGAGGGCGTCGGCGAAGAGGCGGACGAGGGTGAGGTCGTGGGCGTGGACGAGGTTGTAGGTCGGGTCGCGGTAGGCCGAGATCTTCATGATGTGGGAGAGGCCGTCGAGGGCGAGGAGGACAGGGGGGCCCGTTGGGTTGGTGGTGAGCTCGTGCCAAAGGGCCTGAAAGGCGGGCCAGGCGAACTCGGGCTCCTTTGCGGCGGTGGCGATGTCCAGGAGGGTGCCGTCCTTGGGGACGTGGAGGAGCTCGGGGTACTCCTTTGAAATCTTGTACTGCTCCAGAACGGGGCCGCTGGTCTTGACGATGGTCTGGAGGAGGTTGAAGGTGTAGGTGGGCTGGTAGAACTGGAGGGGCTTGGTGTTGGGCACAGGGCTGTAGTCCGCGTTGGAGTTGGTGAGGTCTTGGCCTGGTTTACTTGGTCAGTGACGGATGCTTTTTTAAAAAAGGTTCTCAAGTTCCTAGAGAAGAAGGTAAATACCTTCGGGGATGTTGATGACCACCCAGTTGTTCATCAGAGAGTGAGCCATGGCCTGCAGCAACAGCATGCTCTTTCCGGCAATCTTGCCGCCCGTCAACGCCAGTCTCAACGTCTGCTTCTCCTTGACGGCAGCATCCAGCCGGCTCGCAAGCTTGACAGTTTCCTCCCTGACCAGCATATGCGGCCTCCGGAACAGGCCCCAGTTCTGCGTCGTCTTGAACGCCTCCAGCGTCCGGAGCTGATCGACCAGCTTATCCGGCAGGCCGACGACGGACCCCTTGCTCGCCGCCGCGGCCAGCGTCTCGTTGGTGATCTCCTTGAGGCCCTCGACGGCCAGTGCATTGTTGTTGCTCAGCGTGATGCGCTTGCGGAACGCCTTTCTCTCGCCGGGGGCCGGCTTCTTGACCCTGACATTGTCCCTCTTCTTCTTGGAGTTCTGGTTGATCTTGCCGCGACGGATGTGCTTTCCAATCATCTTGAGGGTGCGCGGGGCGGCGTCGGCCGACGAGGTCGAGAAGGGGGCCGCGGGGGCGCCGGCATACGCGGTGATGACGGGCACGATGCGCTGCGAGAGGATTCGGGGGGCTGTTGCTGCGGCGGTCGTGGGCCTGGTGAGGCACCGCGCGCAGTTCGCTGCGGAAGCCATTATGTGCGATTGCCGGGGGAAGAAATGGACGCCGGTTTCCTGAGTCGATTATCGGTAGGGTGGATATCCGCTCTGGTTTATTGTGATGCCATTCGAATGGTTGCCGGCCAGCGTTTCGTTTTCCGTCCGACGCAGCTTTGCCCTTGGAGTTTTGCTGGTTCGTCGTGCGATTGGGAAGCTCTCCCCAAAAAGTTCGATGGTAAATTCTCGGGACGTTAAAGCCACACCCCCTGGTAGCACCTAGCGAACGGGGAAACAAGGTGCACCACCCAATTTGCAGCGTTGATTGGCTGCATCAATAGCCGGCGTAGCGGTGTCAGTTGTTCCGATTCTTATCGCTATCGCCCATCGAAATTTCCTAAACCCAGCCAGCCAAAGGAAAAAAAGTTCAAGAGTATCCCACCTTAGTTGCGCAACCGCCAGACAAGACAACCACCACGTACAACCCATTCGAAAGGGAAACCCAAGCGCAAACCCGCAGAAAGGAACTTATTACCGATTTGGCGACAAAAGGAAACACAATACGTACACCAAAAATGGCGCTCCCCATCTCGCGCCCCAAGCTGCCCGTCGCAGTGAACAAGCCGACGCCTTACAACTTCGACCTTGGCCTGCTCCTGGCCAACGACCCCAACCCCCTCGAGCTCGACAAGTCGGCCATCGAAGACTCCCTCGCCGCCACCGCCCGCGACGGCGCCCAGGCCCTCATCAACCAGCTTCTCACCACCTGCCCCCTCCAGAGCACCCCCGAGGGCGTCCTTCTCTCCCTCCCGGACCCCTCGACCCCTCTCCCGCGCGAGAAGCCCGTGCCGGCGGCCAAGGAGCCCACCAAATGGGAGCGCTTCGCCGCCAAGCGCGGAATCAAGCCCAAGACGCGCGAGCAGCGCCGCAACCTCGTCTTTGACGAGGACACCAAGGAGTGGCGAGCCAAGTGGGGGTACAAGGGCATGAACAAGAAGGGCGAGGACGACTGGCTCGTCGAGGTCGATCCCAAGGAGGAGGCGAAGCGCAAGGAGGGCACCACCTGGCAGGGCGACAAGCGGAGGGAAAGAAAGGAGAGGATCAAGCGCAACGAGAGAAAAATGAGAAAGAACCAGCGCGAAGCCGGCGAGAAGCGGGAGAAGCGGTAAAAGAGACGAGCGAGTGGAAGGCTTGGGATGCGGAATATGTAATGCTTCGGGTTTCGGCATATGGTTACGGCGTTCATATGGTGGTAAAAATCATTCTCGGCATCTTTTGTTCCAAGGAAGACGGCATCGGTATCTCAAAAAGCAAATGGAAGCGCTTTGTGGCCCAAGATTCGGCCCGCTACAACTCACGTTACTACGAGTCGTCAGTCTTGCTGTGAACTTGTCCTCCGATCTTCTTTTGCAAAATGGGGGAGCATATGACGCGGCTGTCGCCGAGCGCATCCCCTTTGTCCTACATACAAGAGTCCTATATTGTACAGAGATTCCACCAACCCCTGCAGTCATGTTGTTCGTGGCCCTATGAGTCGTCACCCGTCCCCCATCCAGCATCTCGTGAATGCTCCTCGCTCACCCAATTCCTACGATGCTACTAAAGACCAAACCACGCTATATCCGCGGCACCTCACCAAAGCAAATGAAGGAAGAAAAAAATTAGGTACCCAAACCTAGAGCTACTACAGGTGATTGCCACTCTTGATGTAGCTCTGGTTACCAGGAACCTGCATGTCGATGAGAGCTCGGCCAACGCAGTTTCCTGAAAACAGTAAAATCGACGGCTTTTGTGATACGGTTCGATGCCCTGGGGGTATACCAAATAGCATAATGCTGTGTCGCAAATGAAGAAGCACCCGGTCTGTGGTTCAAAGTCATCCGTTCATGCCGTGACCTTTGGTGGCATCCGATATAGGCTTGGCACGGGACCGGGGCTGGGAGAGACGCTCGGAGGAGGAAGAACGGAAGTCGTCAGTGGCGTGATGTCGTCAGTGATGTTGTTGTTGGTGATGCTGAAGTGTTCCCTATACACACGAGTTCCGCCTGGGTATTCGAGGAAGAAAGAAACTAAAGGATACTCAAAATGGTGTTTTAGAAGCCGAGTGGTGAAAGAGGTTTGATGGGTGACAAGGGCCGCAAGTCGTTCGAACCCCGCGGCTCACGGCCGCTGTCAATTGTCAGCGTCGTACCCATCGTCGAGTTGGATGCGACGCTGCCGTTCGACTCAGAAAGTTGGAGGGGCTTTTTTTTTAGCCGTCTGTCTTTCTCCTTGGTCTGATGCTCGGTGACAGCGCTGGACTGCTTACTGCTTTCCGAAAACGATCCCGCCCTGTCGTCCAACGTAGTAGGAATGGGTTCTTCCTGCGCTGCAGGAGCTGCAGGCTCCTCGCTCGTCTCACGAGAGGGCTTGCGCGGTTCCGAGAGGCCTCTTGGGGGTGGCTGGTCGAACAATTGATATTCCTGCTCAATGAACTTTGCCTCGTTCTTGCAGCCCTTCCAGCAGTCGCGCCAGTCACAGACCAAGAATCTGAAACAGAATGCGTCAATCTTCATGCATGGCTGGAAGCAAATGCAGAGATTCCTAAAGTCCATCTTATTCTTGTCGGAGTGCGCTAGGAGCAGACTGAGGTGGCAGGTGATTGCGAAAAGAAGGTAGTAGTTGAATGGCGAGAGGTTCGACAGCTCTTCGACCAATAGTGGGGGCACAGTCTCGTAGCCGGCGCATTCCCTCGCAACTCTTTCCTGGGCTGCCTTCGGGAATAGCTCATCGGGAAGCTCTCTCAGCCAAGCCTTGAGCATGGAGCCTATAATGTTAATGTCGTAGAGGTCCGGCTGCTCGAAGAGGTTTACATCGTACTCTAGAGAGAGACGGTTAGCTAGGCACCATCTTTTCGTACGCATATGCAATGAACAAACCTTCGTCGAACTTCCTCTGCCACTTCTTGATCTGCGGCCCGCTGCCAGGCACACGATATAAGCCTTCCACATCACAGCCCTTATAGTTCAAGTAGTCGATCGCGCGCCACGGGAACGCTGGCATCCAAAACTCCGTCTTGTCTCTTGAATCCTCCAAGCGCTTCGAGATGCGTGTGCGGCGCGTTTGTTCGACGAGAGGCAGGTTGATTGTCTTGAGCGTGTAGTGCTCGTCGTCAATGACAGGCTCCCTCTCCGTCGTGCTTCCACTACGGCCACCCTTGCCGAATAACCGGTTGCTAATAATGTCTCTGCCACTCTTTAGTCCTCCGAAAAAGCCACCATTTTGCGAAGACGAGTTTTGCCGAGGGTGGTGGTCCTTTTCCCTATGGTTGTCCTTGTGGCTCATTTCCCGGGGCGACGCGCGGTCTTCCGAGCGATTCCGCCCGGTAGAGTTCACCATTTCTCTGGCAGATCTGTCGGGTCCAGTGTTGGTATTGTTGAGTGAGTGATTACGGCTCGTCGAGGTATGCGACGGTTCGGGTTCGACAATCGTTACGGGCACAGGGCTGGGTTGCTTGTCTCGAGAGCTTGAGCCGTCCTTGTCGCGAAGCGACTTGCTGCGGCTCAAGAGACCAAATGGCTTCGATTTGGACTTCTTGGACGAGGAGGGTTGGGCGGGAGAAGTATCGTAGTCGGCAGCAGAGGCTAAAGACACGTCGGAACGGGACGGCAGGGTGGGTGCGGGCTTTTGGACGGAGTGCTCAGCATAGGACGGATCTGCTGGTGAAATGGCATACGGGTCAGCGACTGAAGAAATGGTCTCACGATAGGCGAAACGGGGGATGGATCAGGTAGTGGGCCCCAGCTGCACAGGCAGTGGACACTGCGGTCTCAAGAAGGAAAGTTATCCTCGTACCTAAAGGTTGGGTGGGTTGGCTGCTCATGGGAGGAGCATTGTCGGGGCCCCTCGACATACTTTCGCCTCTCGAGTCAGGGTACTGGATCGGGCTCTGTTGGTGTTGCTGGTGCTGGCGCTGAGGGTGTGAGGGCGACTGCGCGGGGGAGACGAGAGAATGGGACGATTTGTTGGCAGACTTTGTGAAATTGAAGAAGAAGCCGGCGGCCTTGGAGGGTCTTCGGGATGGCTCGTCGGGGCGGTGCTGTTGTTGACGAGGGCTGATGGGGTTGTGCTGATGATGCTGGCGAGGGGGCGTGTCTTCGGAGGCGCGGTGGAGGGCGGAGGAGATGGCTTGATACTGCTCGAGGTCGTCGTCGTCGTCTTGGTCTTGAAAGTTTCGATGCTCGTCGGTCAACTGAAGAGACTGCTTGCCACTTGCGCTGGGCCTTTTCGGAGTGAACCTAAAGGGAGAGCGCGGAGATCTGGGAGAGGATTGCGATTTAGAGCCAGCGCTTGGAGGAACGGCAGAGGCGAGGGTTTCAGCAGAGCGCGGCACGTCTTCAGGCTGGTCGGAGGAGGCTTGAGATTCAGACAGCGTCAGCGGCTGTGGTGCATGCTTCCGGCCCATGGTAGGAAATTAATAATGTGCCTCTCTCTCTCTTTTTTTTTTTATTCCCCGGGTAGCTGAATGAAAAAGGAGATTTTGGGGGCCCGGTCAAGGATGATACCCAGAGGGCGCGGCGACACAGGCAAGGCGTTGGTGGGCGGGCGGTGATGGGTGGTGGCAGAGAGGCAGCGCAGGAGCTCCTCAATCAGGTCAGGGCCACCCAGCTTGGGGATCCGTACGGTACGAATCCAGCAGCCCAGGGTAAGTTAGGTGGTGTACCGGTATCCGTGAAGTGATGTGGATGAGGTGAGGCAGACTCCAGAGAGAGAGCACCAGGCCTGCATGGGCTACCTCAGGGCTCAAGCTGTACGAAGTATTGGTGGTGGTAATAGCGGTATCGGTAGAGAGAGACTGTGTGTATGTACTGGTGCGGCGAGGAGAGAGAGTAGTGCGACGTGCGACGGGGAGACAGGCACACACACAGGGCACAGGACAGGATCAGAATCAGGATCGGGATGAGATGGGATAGGTTGAGATGGGACGGACAAGGAGGCCCAGAAACGGTCCTTATCCTGATTCGTTCTCTGCCGCAGGAGGGCCAACTGTTTCGGTGCGCGCACTGGGACCAGACGGATCACGCATCTGTCGGGGATATAAGGAGGTGGAAGGGGGTAAGTGCCAGATGGAGAAGACAGGCTAAGGAATAGAAATCTGTAGTAGGTAGGTGGGCGATTGAGGGAATAGAGATCACACCTAACCTAACATAACCTAAGGTGTGGGCGGGTGATGAAAGTGTGCAATGGAGTGTAGAGAAGAAGAGGGAGATGAAGGGTGAGAGAGAGTGTGAGTATGAGTGAGTGACTGTGTGTGAGTGAATGAAAGGAGGAGTTGAGATGGTACCTGAGAGAGAGGGTGTGTGAGAGTGAATGGTAGGGAAGAAGGGGGGATAGGTACAAGGTTAGGTTGGTAACCAAACAGTAAGGTAAAGTGAGGTAAGGGTACAACCCAAGGCTCCTTGAGATAAGTACAGTATGGCTATAAGGTGAAAGCCGCCCGTGTTGGAGAGGCCGGGGCGTGTAAAAGGAGGCTGATGCAACTATGGGGATGGGCGTTGCAGGATGGGGGACGACTGAACCGGAGTTACGGGGGCTTTGGCTTGACTTGTTCTGGATTGTTCCCTATTGTATTCCTACCTATGTGACAACGGCACGTGAACGGCCAGGTGGCTGAGAAAGGTTGAATGTGAAGGAAGTTTCAATTATTATTGAACATGAACAACGGGCAGATTGACTGTGAGGGGGAGAAAGAAAGATAGATGTTGGTACCTCGGCCAAGGATTGATTGATGGGTACACAGTTGCAAACGAACAATTCCCCTACAGAGTACAGAGTGCCCGAGGTAAGGTACCTACCAAAAGGATAGATGTGGCAGCCAGCGTAAGGCCTGTCTACGTCCGTGCCTGTACCTGGAACCGGGAGCCAAGCACACGATCTGTAAGGTACAGCTACATGGGGGGGGGGGGACCTACCAACCAACCTCAGAGGGAAGGCGCTTGCTTTCGTCGAGACTCGAGTTCCTGCCTGCAAAGAAAAACAAGAGAGGAGGAACTGTGGAGTCACCAGCTGTTACCTCAGACAGTGGTGAGAGACGTCCGAAAAGAGGCGTATTTCCGTTGACTCTGAGTGGATGGAAGATGAGTACGCTGTACATAAGAGGGGGGACTCGGGAAATCTGTCACTGGCAGGAAGGAGCCATGGCCCGGTGTGGATCCGACCCTGAACGGGACCTGGCGGAGGAAGGCAAAGAGGGCCGGGGTGGTGGTAACTGGTGACAGGCATCGCCTTCCATTCGAGTCTCGACACCCGGCGGGGAGCTTGGAGGAGAGAATGGGGCACAACGCGGCACGACAGGGAGAGAAGGCGCTCCGGTCGCAATTGCCAATTGGCTTATTGGTGTCAATCCCGACAAGCACCGGGTGAGAACGTTGGGCAGGTCGCTGTGGGGGCCTCGGGCTGTGCTAATTCCTGAAAGCCCTGGACTTCGTAGATTCTCTCTCCCAATGGCCTGATACCGCATCACACTTCATTTGCGGCGTAAGGTACCTTGCTCCAACTACGCACTAACATCATTTGCTGCGCTAGCTACCACCTCGTGTTGGCCTTCCGCTCCGGATACCTTGCCTTGCCATATCCAACACGACATATCGGAATACCCTCATCTTGTTGCTCAACTCTCTTTAATTCCCATGTCGCCCATGTCGGCCTCTACGGATACGGCGTGCGCGTCTAGCCTGGTGCATTGGTGCCGTACAGTGCCGGTTAGGCCTCAATGCGGCTCTGGCGATTAAAACCGATACATTCTTCAATCTCCTCCTTGCTCCATTCATTATCCCTCGTCACTGCAATTACCTCAAGCGGTCTTTTATCACCAAGAACGTCCGAAGAACCGTGGCTGCTTGCGGCCTAGTTGCGTCAACAGCCTTAGTCGACCGACAACGAACAAGGCCAACTGTTTGCCGCTTGCCAGTCTCATCCGCCAGTCGCCGCGCACAGATCGCGGTCCGGTCCTCCTATAGTGTCGATTTGGGCAGCGCACGTCTGTATGACATTGACATTGCTCAAGCTATTGGGAAGCCATACCTGCCAAGCACCATTCTGGACGAGCCGTCTTGGATCGCAGAGTCAGCCATGCCCGCCTCACCATCAGGTTACCTTCACAAGTGCCTTCTTTGTGGACTCGCGACAACCAACAAGTCGTTCATCAATAGCGACCACCAGCTTGGGCGCATTGTTTGTACCAAAAAAGGGAATACATATCTCAATTCTATCGGTGTTCTCTTCGTCCGTGTCACGGTTCGTATTCGCAAGCGGTATACTTAGACTCGGCACCCAACACGACCCAGGCCAATAAAGTAATCTTGTTCCGATAGCGATGACGGAGTCTGTTCTCTGTCTTTTGCAGATGATTTAAACACCAAGCTGAAAGGGATGTCGCTGGGAGTCGGCTCAGTCGGTGTCCCATGCCAAGGCATTGAATGAATACCCTATTCATCTTGACTCTTCGAGGACATTGCCTACTGGACTGCCAGGCGGCCAGACTCTTGAAACGCAGTCGATTATAGGATTGCCACGTTTTGCATGGCCTGGAATGTGAGCAACGCCAGGGGTGCTAACTGCTTGCTGCCGCCCATGTAAGCTTTAAGCGTTGCATTACCTCATGACACAACTTGCAGACACCCCTTGGAAACGGCCATCTTTCCAATCGTCTATCTCGGTATACGTTGATTGGCAGTATCAAGACGGTCAGTGCCTCCGCAGCAGTACGGCCGTCTGTGGTCCCGCCGCTCGGGCATCAAGCTGTGCGCCGTTATATGTCGTGATGACGGCACCTCCGAAGTCCGATAGGCGCTCCGCAAGTTCAGGTGACTGACCACGAGCAGATTACCTCAAATGTGAGAGAGGGGATGAAGCCTGAAGCAACCCGTGATATGGAGCACGACGTGGTCAGAACACCACGAAAGTACGCTTGCAAGACGAGGCTAGGCGTTGCCGACAGAAAACGGAGAAACAGACTGATCTGGCATGATGTGACAAGTCGCGACGCAGCCAGCACGCTACCGACGCACTCTGTGCGGTTCTTCTGCACGTTCAGACCCTTCCAGAGTGTTTGGAAGCCCGTGTCGAAGATCCCCTTACTCCGTCCAACGGTGAGCTCGGCTCGACTCGCTCAACTTGCCTCCCTGGCCCGACAAGAAGACAAGAAGCTTGCCGTCTGCCCACTGATCTGACGGCAAGGAGTCGCGCTACTGCGCGTCCATCTGCAAAGCACAGGCAACACGAAGCCATCTAGCATATCATCGCCTCCCAACTCGTAAGCCTCGGACAGGTTGGCAACCAACCAATGCACGTATGCTGGCTTTTGTTTCGAACCGAGCACGTCAAGCGTTGCCGCAACGTGCCGGCTCAAGCCTTATCTCAAAAGATTGTGCCGAAAACGTGCACTCTCTTTGGTTAGAGGGCTATTTTTGAGCAAAGTTATCCAGAGGGACGAGACGACGGGTCATGGCGCAGAAGAGGTAGAAACTCTGCCGAACTTTACGCTGGAGCTGTCGTCATTGTCATTTGTACCAAATCCCGCACTGTCAATCAAGATGGTCAGAGATCGTGAGAACGCAAGCGTGTACAAGGTATCAAGCATCTAGCTCAGCCAGTACTAGGAAGTCATTGTTCGCTGTATGGCTTCTCATGGAAAAGTGGCCTCGGTATCAACAACAGAAGACAATTGAGGTTACTTACATTTGATACTAGGTATTCCCAGATTCACTTGCCCAATGTATTTTTGGCTCTATTAGTTGGGTACTTCCGCAGCACTGTAATCAACTCCAAGCCCACGGCGTGTCGTCAACGATCAAGTGCCTCGCGAACGGATAGCGGGTTCGGTAGCTAAATATCAACGATGAGCTACCCACTTGCCGCGGCGATCTCTCTCGGCTATGAGTTGACACACTCAAGCCTAGTCAAAGATATAACTAGCTTGCGCCTTGTCGCAAAGCAGCTTTACAGCCATTACTTCCGTACATCAGCTCTGGAAACATGAATAATGGGATATCAACGAAGTCTCCCGGAGCCATACCATGAAAAGAATATAGCACTCTGCGTTCAGGGTCAACAAAGTACTTGGTCTCTGTCAACGGCGTCAAGGTTCGCACAGGCCCGAGTTCCAATGTAAACCGTATTGGTCCGAAAGGAGCTTAGTTCAGGCACACAACCGACCACTCTGAAACTCGGTAGTGTTTCTTCGACAAACGCTGGGAAAAGCCCCGCAAAGGTGGGCACAATGTGTAAATGTCAACAACGCCCCGAACGGTGTCCGGACGGGAAAGACCCAGAAAAGAGGGTTGGTACGCGCACATGGCAGCGTGGCAGCGTGGCTTCGCCTCTGTTACTCCTGGCCGGGCACAAGCCTGGATGATGGCTCCAGCTGTCAATATGGAGGTGGCACGTATTTTGTACGGATACTGT